GTGATTGATGATCACTGTGATCTAATTAGCCCCAAATTCCCCTTTGGTTGACAAATGGCTGTCTAGCACCTGCCGCACACATGCGTCGTGACCGCTCTCAAGAGGGTCAAGCCTTCGTGATGATCACTGTGATCTAATTAGCCCCAAATTCCCCTTTGGTTGACAAATGGCTGTCTAGCACCTGCCGCACACATGCGTCTTTCGTGACCGCATAAAGAATGCAGTGCTTTTCAGAAACTCCCATCTGTTTCCCTGCACCTTCAACGGACTATGGTGAAATGGGGCAGGCAGAGATTAAACCCACCCTCTTTCGAATCACACTGAAAATGCTCCGAAATTCGTTTCACATAAGGTTCCATTTCCTAGGGGAACAAATTTGCAGACACATATTTCTTCCACCTGTAAATATGCCTAAAATGTGCACGTAACTTCTGACGTGTATTGGTGGCATTCCTGTCTTGTTTTGCAGGAAGTGCTGTATTGGTGGCATTCCTTTCTTGTTTTGCAGGAAGTGCATTTGATTCTTCGACTTTGGACGGTGGCCCTGCAGATTATAAGAATGAGGATCGGGACCCAATTTGAAAAGCAACAGCACCAAAACAATGAACAAATCGCCCTGGATGTTTTGTGATTGCCACATTACATAGTGCAACTGAAATAAGATGAAAGACGATCAGGCAGACTGGGAATTACCCGAACTGCTATGCATACGGCCGCACCAGCTGTTTCCAAAGTCCGGTACTGTGGTTTACATAAGATATTGTGAAGCAAACCCTAGCACTTGATATGGTACTTTTCAAGCGTTGGCACAAACTACCGCACAACACGTCACCATATTTTTCCTTTTTATACTCGTCGGGCATACCTTGTCTCCTAACTTCCATCAACCTAATTTCCTGTCTGAACACTGGGTCGGGGATGTATGGAGACAAACATTCGCTGGTAAACTGGGATACTGTTGACTGGGGACTTAATTAAATCTCAAATAGAATGTCCATTTGTAATATTCTTGATCTGAATTTCCTGTCCAAATGCCTAATAAGGATTTGGTTGAAGCGATATTCTCTCACATGACCTTACTAATTAGGGTGCTGAAAACTCTTGGACAGCTCACTACCGGTTTTATCCTTTTGAGGCCTGATAACTCATGGCTAGTCCATCAATGTTGGTCAATCCTATTTTACTCTCAACCAAACGTATGCAGTGTAAAAACGTACCTGCAAATTACAGTAACCGAAGGGTTTAGCTGGGTGTCCCCGTATTTTCAGTTTACTTTGTAAATACATGAATATTTTTACCTCACACTATCACTCTTTTCAACACCATCAGCAGTAAATAAGGAGGAGTCTCAATGAAATGAAATAGGCTAGAATTTCGACTTGTATGTTAAGGAGCCTCTGCCAGAACCATACAAAGTTGGCTTCTAAAGTCATAGTCGGGAAATGATATATGAACAGGGTAGCGAAGACGGGGTGCAATCAGCAATCTGATAGAGCATTTATTGAGAATCGAGCCCGTCTCAAAGGCCCCCGCTATCGGTTGGACGGTTTTTTCTATCAGCTCAAAACTTTATTAGATGCTTCAAGAAACAAACGACTTACCTCTCCTAAACAGTCCCTGTTTCCCATTACTTCCGGTAGCCTGTTGTCGACTGTACGGTGCTCCGCCCTCTATCACTGACTGACATTGCATGTGTGATTGTCTATTAGCCCCCGGAATGAAGCCCGTCAGACCGTTTGGGAAGAGGTTGTATGATGAAGAGTATTGTTCAAGTTCTCCAAGAGATGAAGGGAATCCGTGTGAAACCAGAGACGTCGGAGTTGAGTCCTGGCGCATCTTGTCAATTCCTCCGCCAACAACACGCGCAATCTCCGAATGGCTTCCACGTAGATCAAACGCGTTCTTCAGAGCAGTGTCAAAATAGGGCGGTGTTCTTGTAGAACAACCAGAAAACAATATGTTTCTTACTCCCAGGTCACCTTCCGCGGCTGCGACGGCACTTGTTCCACTGCCATTGCTTGAATGCAAGGACGAATGGTACAGTAAGGTACCTACGTTTGTGGGGTATATAGCTTCTGACGAGGTCGATACATGTGACCCGCCGGTGCTGGTAACCTCAGTTTCTAAATTCGTCGATCCCAGGGGTGGTGATAAGAAGTTGGATGAATTGTGTGAAGACAAGCCGGAGGAATCACTTGAAGACGGTGTTCCGCTCTGTGAGACAATAGGGCATCAGGTTACCACCAGTATACTGTTTTTTTGCAACAAAAATATGTTACTTGTTTTATGGCCTCAAACCCAGGGCACACGGCAGTAAGCTAAGAAAAAATCAAATACTTTTTAAGCTAAAATGCTAGTTATCTAAATTTTTGTAAAACATCTGCCTGCCTTCCAACTAAAACCGTTCTTGTTGTCCTGATGTCTATCGCTCTGACGTGACTTCAGTTTTCTTGACAAAATACATTAACCACACAATTTCTGATAACTCTTCGATAATCCTCTACAGAGTCCTCCCATCTTGGCCGTATTCGGTGTATGTAGCCCCCTCCCAGTTTCCATCGACCTTATGTTGTACTCAAACAAAAATGGGTGAAATATATCCGCTAGATACGTTAGTATTATCGAACGATTCAACAGAATGTCTCCATCATGTTCCTCATTTTCCAAAGGAGTGACGTTTTGGACGACCCTTCAAAGTTGGAAAGACTAGAAAACCAATTGAACCAAGTCTAAAGTACAAGAATTGCGACTAAGGTCTGACCACTAGGCACTAAGCTGCTGAATTTTGTTGCTTGTTTCACGCATCTACCCAGGCAGACCAGCTCTGACATCGTATGATAAAATGAACCAAACTAGTTATTTCTGTTCAGATGACTTCGTTTCAAAACCTCTTGGTCGGAGCAAATTTCTGTGTTTCTACCGACGCGAGTAAATAGTTATTGAAGCCACGGCTGATCTTCGGTATCGTTGATCATAACTTCTTTTTGTGTCCGTTATTGCAAGTACCTCGATCGCCTGACCGCATCTTTGTTTATTGTTTCGTCAGTTTGTACAGTGCTGACGAAAGTAGAGATTCAGAATGGGAACCCGAGTGGAAAAAATTCAACAAAAAGACAAACGTCCATGAACAGGATTCAAGCCCGCGAACTCTTGCATGCCAATTGAGCTGCCACCCACGGTCGTACGCATGCACTTGAGTTCCTCATTGGCTGGCTACAACTCTGCCGAATATGTCCAACAGTTGGTGGCTCTCCACATAATTCGCGGCCCCTGGTTTAACTTCAGCAGCGGACCAGATGGTAACATCATTCAAAATATACTGATTTTATTCATGTAGACTAAAAAGCCTTTGTTTTTTCTGGTTTGCATTAAGTGCGCCTGTGTTTCCATTCTTGTACTCAATGGATCCCCCTATCCTGTACACCAAAGCTCTTATTTGAAGACGGTACACAGTAAGTGTCAGTCTAGATACACGCTGGCAGTAGCTGGGTTTTCTGGCTTTCAACAGATTTGCGTCTTACACATGGTTCCTCTTCAGGCGGAGTTCAGCAGCCAAACGCTCAACAATCGTCGATACATATATGTGGCATGTTTTAGAATTTACTTGGCATAGTTCAAAGAGTTCAGTAGCCGCTTGATTTAGGATTATAGTGCGTTGCCGTGTGACCATTCCCAATGTGCACAGCTGACTGGAGAGGCAAAATGACACAGCGGCGTGCTTACAACCTTACAACTTCAGAAAGTCTACCTGTAGATATGGCGGTTCTCCAGTTGCTTCATTAGACGCGTATGCTTTTTCCGTCATTTCATAGTCTTCTGAATGGTTGGATCCTGTGCACCGGGCATATTTTTGAGCCTCCGATACAAGTTGAGAAGTTCCGCAACGAGAATCCACCATGTTGCGTGAGGATGGAACAGTTACTGGGCCAACGGGTTTTATCGGAGTCGAGGGTGCCTGCATTTATTGAAGGTAAAAATGGCAGGGTGCATTTTTCCAAGACTTTCTTAAGTCCCTCCACAAATAACATGCACTACAATGAGTCCCTTGGTGAAAAAATGGTTGTATTTTTAGGTGGGATGGATGGCTATGAATATTTTCCTTACTCCGTTTTTGGAGCTAATTGTTGAAAAACGGCCACAAGCTAAATCACAATTAAATACTTTAACCGGAGTTTTCTGGGAGGGAATACCTGAGTAAAACTTGAGATAAGGAGATGGTAACCATCAGACAATCCCTTCTCGCTCTTTAAAATGCCGATTTGAGTTGATACACATGCTCTCAGACAGCCGTTGTCACAATAGGGTCCGTGATACCGACCTTGGTCACTAACATCTTACTGCAGTTGATACTGATGGCGTGTTTCTCGATCGTGCGGAAAACTCGATCGTTTGTTCGCGTCCGTTGCCACTGGTCTTAAAGCGCCATCAAACTGCGCTCTCCGGGGAGCGAGTGATTGTGTATAAACAGCTATAGTCAAGCTAACACCCATAACTGAACTGTGGTCTACCAGTTAACAACAAATTTTGTAGTTCGCTGGCAGCTCACATTTATTCAAACATGTCCAATAGATCGCTTTTGGTGGCGTATGAAATCCGTCCTTAATTGTGAAACAAACCAACTTAATGCTGGTTGCATGCACAATATAGTAGGTAACGAAAAAAGACTTCAGTAGCAGAGCCCACTCCAAACACGCGAACCTGCATCTCAGACTTTCTATTTGACCGTCAGCCTGATATCTCTACAGTAGTTTGCACCCTGCTAGTGTGATTTTTGTACAAAATGTGGGAGAACAAGACCAAAATCACAATCAGGCAGCTTATAGCGTACATTATAGGTGTTTTCTTTCTAAATGCGTTGGCTTGCATTCACCGTAAGTACTGTCAGAATCGTCAAACGGATATACTGAGACGATGGACTTTGAGGTGCTTTACTGTCCTCGCCCTCTATAGCAGATAAACCCACTGTGGCAATTTTCTGGGTAGTTTGAATTCATCTTGTCTAACCTCTTTAGTAACTGCGTTAAAATTGCCTGAAAGCATACGTCTATAGTTCTGCGTCCCTAAAGAGCAAATGTCCCGTGTAAGAAAGACTTTGATCTGGTATCGGTTAGTCGCGCGGTCTAAAATGGAAGCACTGTATACTGGTGTTATACTGTCCGTAAATTTAAACTCAAAATGTATAGCGATCAGAATTCTTCCAATGCATCGTGGGGTTTCGTTTTTGTTTCCAACGACCTTGGTAAAAGGTTCCATTTTATTCGTTTGAGAGTACTAGAATTCTCGCCAAATCTACCGGTCTTTCGCACTGAAGAATCAAACGGTTTCAAATCGATGAGCCAATTCTGTTAGCATACCTTCTGTCACGATATACTCGGTCGTATATGCTTTGGCAGTCAAGCATCAAGTTTATTTCAGATAGGTGCTCCAAATGTTATCTGGACTGCCAGTACATTTATCCCAAGGAGTCAGTAGACAGACTTATTGACTGATCCCAAACCATTTGTCCGCATAATTTTTCCACACAAATTAATGGAAATCTTAGATTTTGGTTTCCTCTAGAGTCTGTCGTTTGTGAGTCACTCAACTACCATTGTTGAGTGCTGTTACATACTAAATTTATCGGCTTGAATAAAATCTTTCGATAGCCCATTGCTCATTTCGAGCTCTTTTTCGAGCTCATTGGTTAAAACCACTTTCCGAATTTTCATCAATCTGATTCAATGTGCATGTGAACACTCATTAGCAAATTAAATTGGCGTCAATGGATAAATCAGCTGACTTTCGGTCAGATTGCTCTTCTCTACTCTTATTTGATGAACATCATGGAAGACGGATTCAGAAGAGGTTTATTTTAGTCTCTCATTGAGACCAGCTTAATTTGCAGATGAATATTTGTTAGCCTCTTCGCCAAGAAATCCATTTAATGCCGAAGAGAAAGGTTTTTGGAGAGAATAGTTGGCTGGAGGTGGTATCCCAAAGTCTTTCGTTCTTTTGGTTGTCAACCAAGATGCTGATCATATCACAACTGCTGGAACTAATGAAGTTAACCGGGAAATTCTGACAATCTTCGTTACTGTACCTCCAGAACAGAACTAAATTTTTCCATGCTTGTACAAATCACGCCGATCCAGTTTCAACGGTCCTATAAAACAGCAGACGATTGCATGTTATCGCCACTGACCCAATAATTGACCAATAATGCCAAATTTCAGGTGGACGTATTCGGATTTTATTTGTCTTCCTGTGGAGCTGCCTTTTGCAGACGAAATGAATGCAGTCAGTGATAAGATTGAGTGAGGTTATCCTACATATGACGGGACCTCGATCTCAAGCGCTGCTTAACCAGTCAAATAAGAAGCTTTTCTATTTCAGCTTTATTTCAATTGTAGGCCGTTGGCGACATCACCAGACAAATATGTTTTCCAAGTCATTCTTTCATACTTAGAGCCTCTAATTCTATAAATACACTCATTTACAAATCAATTTGGTTTTCACGGGAGACAACCGAGTTTTCAGTGTATGACTTTTTTGGACTGAGTGTGCTGCACAAAGGACGCTGCATGTTTCAGTTGAGTCTCCCGTGAAAGTCAAGTTGATTTACAAATGAATGTATTTGTCAAAATATGTCCAATTTTGGTTCAAGTAGAACATAAGGTTGACGGAAATTCGGGGACTGCGCCTACTTGATGAGCCCCAAGAAGGGCGAAACCGGTTGTGGGCTGCCGAAAAGTCTTCAGCAACCTTGTGAGTAGTTTCCTCCAATTCTAGCTTTTCCATAGTCTTTCTTACCAATGACCGTTCTTCAGGTATATGTTTACCGAGGATACTGAACGTAGGTCAACGATGCCACACCGATGTGCAATAGTCATTGCCACAGCTTGACCACATAGGTCATACGGAAAGGGAGAATTCAGATTGATTGTTTTGTCTAAAAAGGTCTCTTCAGGTAAATATTTCTCCAGTGTGCATTGCGAAACTCACAAAAACCCTAGACAACGTCAGTTAAGGAGGCTGGATGAACACAATATAGAAACACGCTTTCTTACCATGTAACTGTGCATGCTAGACACTCGTTCAGGTTCGCACAAGTACCAATCTGAATTTGCGATTTTTTTAATCGTTCAACCACTACATAACATGGTGCTGTTGATCATTTGTTTGTGAAAGACCGAAATCCCTTCGTGATTGAATGAGGTCACCTAACCCTGACTTGCCCTCACCCATAAGTTAACCTGGCTGTTTGTTCTTCCAATAACCTCTAGTTTCGTTGCGTGTGTCTTACACCTGACAGTCATTTTCGCTGCTTACTAAATAAACCGAGCACCCAAAGTTGTCCACACAGAATTTACTCTCTTCATACTTATGGTTGCGTGAATCGGTACTTGTTAAAACAATTAAAGCGGAAAATGTGTGCCCTCTCATCTAATCGATAAAATCTCAAGGACACTGAATCGTGCCTCATATGTTCACAAACCTCAAGTCACATTGGGCGGCTTCACGCCTCCCTTTCAAGCAAATAATCGACTTACACTTCAGTAGTAGTTTCCTGCCCAAGTTTGCATTTTCTTGTATCATGCAAAGTGAATCGGCGTATGCTAAAAAGTTTAAGAGCTCTTAGGGACTGTTTTAGCCATATTGGGAATCATCAGCACCGACCATCTTACAGAATGCATTGTCACATGAAAAATTGGATAAAGTTTATCCTCTCAAAATGTACATAAATTTATAACGTACGGAAGAACTAAGCAAGCGAAAGTTTTTGTTTTTTCCCAAGGAAATACAGAATACCAGGCCACACTATTTTTCTTACCTGATCCGTTGTTCTGCTTAATTGAAACCCTAGTTGCATATGAAGGGCACTGGTCAAGCTCGGTTCATTATTCCCGTTAGCAGAGATTTCCGTTGAGGTTGCTGAGGTGTTTGAATACGGCTCAGTTACTGGCTGATGCTGGTAGTAGCTGCTACTCGGTGTGAAATTATAACCAGTTGGGGGAGCAGGATAACTTCGTTGGTGTGATAACGAACTCAGCACAGAAGACTGTGGATACAACTGTGGATGGCCCATTGCGCCCGCGTACCCCATGCTTCCACCAAAGAAAGGTCCCAAGGAGGCAACTCCAGAGGCGGGATGCAAAGCCGCAAAGCCTGGGTTGTTGAATGTTGGCATGGGCGGGTAATATGGTGGAGGGAAGTAGGGCGGTTGAAAGTCTAAACCTGTTTCAACCGTGGTCGCGTCCGATTCAATTAGAGGCTGTGTCTGAACCTCGTTTGTCAATAACCTCGTTCGTTCCTGGAAAAAAGCAAGCAGAAATCCTAATGAACTTTGTACCGTTGAGTCGGGTTACTCCAAAATACGCATTTGAGAAAATACGGTGGATAAGAATTATTTTTCGGAAGGTAGAAGTTCTCACCTAAGGGGTGGTATAAGTTGTGTAGAACTCACAGATTTTACATCATTCCATAAAATCAAAAAGCTCAATGTAGCCTGCTTCCCTAGATTGGTACTGGCTTTCTGGACGGAATCCGCTACAAAACGTTTACCTTGTAAGGGGTTGTATAACGAATAGGAGTAATTCGTTTGTCATGTAATAGCAGTATATACTACTCCTATGTGCTGGACAGCACTCAAGGATCAGCTACTGCCATGAGTGAACAATCATCTGTTTCACAATTTGTTCACTTCTGTCGAGGATGTATGTACGCATTTGTAACCGGTCCTACATCGATTCATCCGAATCAAACTCGACAATGTAATGCACTTACTCGGATAGCTCCTAACCAGAAATCCGATAAGTTTACAAAAATTGCGCTAACAGCCTATCTACAACAAAATAGTTAACGAGTTTACCGCGTAAGAAAATTTGGGTTTGTGGAATATAAACTTAGTTTAAACGTCGCGTGCCTACAGACTGCTTCGGAGATTTTCAGAGGACCTAAAAACACCTACATGGGTGAGAGAGGGATTCAGTTCTCTGATCGGTACCCAAAAAGAGCAGGACAGCTGGCGTATCCTTTGGTAGATCATAGTTCCTTTCACGCGAAAGCTTCTAAAATGGCCAGTAGGTGCATGGGAAATTAACCGATAAGTTGAGTAGTCTAAGGACTGTTGCGGAATAGGGTCGTTATTCCAGTCTAATGGTGAACGACAACGAACCAGGTCTACCTGATGTTCATGGTTAGATGACACTTTTTAGACCACGCTACGTAACTACTCATCTGGATTGGTATCGGAAAATCAAACCTGACAGTACTGTATGCATTATCCCGCCTCTTCTTTCGACCACCCAAGAACTGTTTTATGACTAGTCCGGTCTATTGAAAGATAAAAGAGATTAACCCTGGAGGAAACTCACTCACACTCGACAGCCCACGACTGGTTTCGCCCTTCTTGGGGCTCATCACGTAGGCGCAGCCCCCGAGTTTCTGTCAACCTTATGTACTCTCTCTCTCTCTCTCTCTTTCTCTCTCTCGTGAAAACCAAATTGGTTTGCAAATGAGTGTATTTCTCGAGATTAACCGTGCTTCGTTATCCGTTACTAATGGGTCTGAACAACTAAACCGACCAAACAGACGATGGGGTGATTGATATTGTGACGCCACTAGATTGGCAACTGACAAATCATAAGACCAGGTAGGAAACGCATCAGCAACAATAAGCATCAGCTGGAGTCCCAAAGTGAAGATGTAGTCTTGACCGTGAGTGCTCTAGACTGGGCGAAGGCACAACAGACGCTTCAAGTTAAATAACAGCAGCAACAGCCCAGTGTGAACAGGCAGTGACGTGCTATTCAACATGTACTGAGCAAACATAACTAGGAGTAGGTGAATTCGTAAGACTGGTGCGTTTGCGTAGACACCAATCTACTAATGACAGAGAATATTGATACTGAAGCAGTTGTTAATCGCCTGTGAACTTGTTCGCACATGTACGAGGGCTCCTGGTTACAGGGAGTCTACGACAATAACTCCCTTGGTATTACGGAGTGAGCGACTGAGAGGTGCAAAGGCATCTCTACCTGAGGGTTCATGTCGTTTCTGAAAGCGAAGGAGGCGACCACAGATTCTTCTTCGGATAACTTGATTAGTCCTGAAAGAGCACTAGCCTATCCATAACTAGACACTGAAATTGTAGCCAAGCACGTTGATTGCTCAGTATTGTAATCATCTAGCAGTTAGTCTGGATTCCCCATTTTGGGACTATATACTGCTAAAAAAAAGCCGATGGTCAGCTGAGAGAGAAAAAATGTGTCCACAAACTGTCTTGCGAAGCTTGTCCTACTTTTCAACTTCTCCACAGTTTCTTTTAGCTGCCCGTAACGGAGGGACAACGCGCATTTTGGCTTTTTCGCCCCCATTAAAATACACATGTGAACTGTGGTTAAATCCATTTAGTGTAACGATAACTGGCCATCTTGGATCAAAGTATATAGGTAGAAGATTCGAGGTTAACATCGATTTGACCGAATCAAAGAATTTTTGGCACTAATTCGACCAGAACCATTCGGTATTTCTGGTGATATCTTGTTAATTAGTGCACACAAAACAAGTATAGCTGTTACAGCGAGGTGTAGCAATTAACTTGCCCGAGGAGTGTACTTGCATCGGTAGGAGTTGGCAAGCATTGTATGGCATCAGTGTTATCAAGGTCAGAATGACACCCATACTAATTAAAAATGAGACCTATCTAATACATGGAAGTAGGAGAGAGATGGCTCATAGGAGTTGGCAAGCATTGTATGGCATCAGTGTTATCAAGGTCAGAATGACACCCATACTAATTAAAAATGAGACCTATCTAATACATGGAAGTAGGAGAGAGATGGCTCAAGTGGCTATAGCGCGAATTTACTGACCGGAAGGTCCTGACCTCTGCCTCTCGACTTCCCGGAAGGGTGTTACAGATAATACACAAAAGTGAGATTGGAACCGTAATCATTGGTATGCTGAAGGGCTACATTATGTCGTTATCATAGTTCAGAAGGTAGACGTCCCACCACAATGATATTGCTCAGTTATTCAGCTAAATGTGATACAGTTGTCAGAATTATATGATATCTTTGTTGACGGCTAAGGATATTCTCTTGTGCTGTTACTGTCCGCAGTGTGCGCTGATTGTTGAAGCCCTGTAGATTCTTCTACCTAGCAAACAAGCTCCTGCGAAATCAAACGTTACAAAGAGGTAACCCCCTTTGGTCAACATAAGCTAATCTCAGGAAAGGGGGTTTGGTACTTGAGCCTCGTTACTCATTACTCAACCTTTTGAATTTTTATTCATGAGGATTTTTTGTGTAGTGTGGATGCTCCTATTAGTGACGTCTGTTTGCTGAATTTACCGAACTCATTTCCCAACGAATCAATGAAATGTCATCCACTACTGAGATACGAAAGTCAAAAATATGCTCGCTTCTGATGGTTGTGAAAGCACATCTACGAGGAGTGAGTTATCCACTACAGATAAGTGATCAAGTTACCGATAGGAAGGAAGATGCTTCTTGTAGAACTTGTCTGAAGCACCAAAAGTGTATCTTTCATGGTGAAAAGACTCATCATAAGGCATTTAAAATGGGGGAACCGTCGTAGTCCCATATAAGGACGAAATACCACCTTGTTTGATGGTAACTGGACTGCTTACGTTTCGTCACCAATCGAAGTGATTTCGTCACTTCGAAGCGGAGTGTATGGAGTATTTCGCCACAGTATTTCTGGTCTTGTTTCAACCACTATCCTCGCAATGAAGTCTCTTAAAGTGAACTGCGCCAAATGCGAATTATACCAGTAATCAAACACGACAATGATGCAAGCGTTTATCAGGTACATATCCTGAAAAAACAAGACTTTTGCCCACAGCCTCGTAGTTTTCTAGCCTGATAAAGACTCAACTGTAAGTGGTGACCCCCATTAAGCGCATCTTCTCGTTGTTAAATCAGTTACGTAGGATTTCTCAAGTCACACAAGCCGAATAAGGCTGTAATACCTGGAAAATGTGACGAAATTTGGTCCATAAACAATACTTCTACGTTAGCTACGTATTATTTTGCGTATCATACTACGGCGACTAGCACTACTACCTTGTTCGGGTAGTGAAAAGTGGCTCCTCTCAATGCTGTGAACAGTCAAATTGCATCCTTGATTCGTTTAATTTTTTGCATGTGGAATTAGTGCATTTACTGTGGGCAGAAGCTTGTTGTGTCGACTTCACCAGTAGAGGAAGTGACTCATACTGTACTGGCTAGATGTGCCACAGGTTTTGAAACGACACGTGAATGTACAGTGATCACGTGTACTGAGTAGAAAACAATGTGAAGACAGTTATCAACATAGATTACCTCAAATCGATACACAACAGCCCTGTCAATCCGTTAATTTCCCTAGGACCATCTTATCTTCACTATATCCGATGGAATCCGTACCACAACCATTGATAACCTATCACTCACACGATTAGTGTAAGGCGGGCCAAGTTGAAACGTTCTGAGTGACTTTCGCTACAATATACTGAGGTCAATCATTATAACGAATACCGGCCAGAAAAGCCACTACCAATACAGACTCACCTGTACGTCGGATGACATTAAATTCGATAATTAATTTCTTCCCAAATCAATGGAAATGGCTCCGAGCAAAACGTGAGTCTCAGCCGGGTACCCCGAGGCACGATTCCTGGCACTGCTCCAGAAAGAGCGGACAATAGACTGAATGTTGCACGTTAATGGCCAAAGGCAGAAAGCAGACTGTCCATCTGTGGCATCAGTAGAATCAATGATTCCAGTTAGGGCACACTCCACCCTGCCTCCCCGATCACTCGTGTGGGAAGGACAAGGAACGATCTACCATCGGTTGATAGGCTGATCCATTGCATCTGGTCAACATAAAGCCTGAGGAGAGTGTGGAAGGAGTCTACCCCCTCCTGCTATTCGGAGTTTTTCTTCTCCCACCTATCCTGTTGCACATCTTTTTTGTCGCTCTGCCCCAAGGCCAATAAATCCTTTGATCCAACAGAGCCTGGAATGAAGGACTGGCAGATGCGGATCGAAGCACAAGGACCACCCCCACACTCCTGTTTTTGTGCCCTGATCACAGCAGGACTTACGTGTGGCATGTGCTTGTGTTGGTAGCCACACTAACTTCGGGTTAATTTGCCTGAACGAATAAAGCAAGGGAAGAGGATGCGAAAAGGCAGGAGTATCAACGGCGAAAATGAACCAATCAGAATCTAGTCATGTGTTGTAGGAGGTTGCGACAACCCAGCCTGTAAGTCTCTTTTATGTGAACAATTCGAATTGTGAAAAG